GAGAGCAACATTAAGAAATATGGATACATCTCTCAACACCCATATGTCAAAAAGAAATCAAAGAATCAGAAACGGGTTTATTATTTAAAAACACTTCATTTTCCAATTAAATCATAAACTATGTCAAATTATTAGAAGTTGTTAGTAATCAGATTAAACAGAAAAAAGGGATGGAAGGAGGAAATAATAATCCCTCATCTCTTGCTGTTTGCGGTTGAAATGATCTCTTCTGCTGGCCAAACATGCTGGATGGAAAGCAGTGATGTCTCACTTGCCTTGGCCCTGTATCTGCAGTCCCTAAATCAGTCATGTTACTCATTGACTCTTGTCTGTTCTGGTGTTCCTGTTCATTGTCGTCTCCATTGTCGTTCTTGTCTGTTGTTTCTCCTTCTTGTGTGTCCCTTTCTCCTGTTCTCCTTTCTTCATCCTCTACTCTGTTTGGCTCATCTGTGATGACTGTGTAGGTAAACACAAACAAGTATGTATCAGTTTCCAGCTCTGTCAAATAAATGAATTTCAAGATACACACATTTGTCTTCATTAAAATGAGTGTCACCACACTGTCACAAAATGTAATACTAACCAATTGAAAATAGTTAAATTTACATCTCTTGTAGATATCACTGTTAGAGTAGTTATCTGCCAATAGGACAGAATCATTCCTATACAAATGCAGTTTGAGTAATTCACTTAATATATTTACTTAAAACTTTAATATAGTCATTTTCACTTAATACTCTAATATAGTCATCTTTCTGCATTCAACACTAAGGAAAGCTGTACAATTTGACATGATAATGAGGAAAAAAGGCCTCCGACAATGCAGATCAATTTTAAGATGCGGGTCAAGGCTTAATATTTGGGAGCATAGTGTCCCTTGCTCCCTTTCAGGAGCCCCACTGGATTGGCTTTGATCTGAAATATTTGTATAAAAAGCTTGTTAGCTGGCTGTCCATCTCATAATGTTCACATATAAACTAGCTGTCAATAGGAAATATAAATCAGAAGAATTATATTTTCATGCAAAATCTGTCACAAAAAGAGGTTGCACATTTAAATGCAGGTGTTGTTATGGCAACGTCAGTGGCCAGACAGCCACATGTACTGCTGCAAATACGTTCAAACATGCTGTCGACACGTAAAGCAGTGGCAACTATGCCACCATTTCAGCTGACTTTTTCTCAGAAATGTCACATAACATCCATATATATTTCAGTGCTAGGTTGATGCTTAGCTAAGCTAACTATGAAACACTTTAACTGACAGGACTCAGGAATCAGGATCAACTGTGTACTACTGTAAGGTAGCTTCTAGCTTCATGTCGAACACAGACAGTAAGTCAACATTTCCCAGAGAGCTTTCTTTGAAATCACCAAGTAACGCTAAAAAAACACAACATTTAGATTGTATGACAAAGTGTTTATTTAATATATCTGGCTAGCTATAGCTACTTGCTAACGGTTTAGCTTACCCGCGCGATTCAAAGTAACGTCAACGTAACTATAATGTATGCTTTGCTTACATGTTCGCATAACTTGTAAGTTTACTGACAGGTACATACAGGGCCGGACTGGGAAAAATAAGTCGGGCCGGGAATTATACACCCAGCCAGGCCACTACCAGTTTTCTTTTGTGCCATTTTTCTGGATTTATTTGTCAATATTTACAGCGTTGCTGCCCATAGTGATAGCCCTAAACTTTAAATCTACTACCCTAGAATAAACATATGGACATGGGTTACTGTTTAAAATAATGTGCAAATCTATTTAGGAACCTATGTGAACATATTTTAAGTGCAGGTGGACTTCAAATCCTATAGGGGGGTCCGGGGGCATGCTCCCCCGGTAAGATTTATTTTTTAAATGTTGGACTTAAATGCATCAATCTGGTTCACTTTGAGGGGGAAATAAAGAGACAGAACTGTATACATTTAAATAATCATAAAATCATAATAACATGGCCATAACCAATAACATACCATATCCAATATGAAAAAACATTGAAACTTGTTTATTTATTTGTTTTTGGTACATTTATAGTTGTGAGTGTGTCTGTGCTCCTGAACCAGCCTCTCCTGTCTCCCTCCTCTCCCCCCGCTCCTCTTTGAGGCAGCAGCAAAGACTAGTTTTAGCTAACAAGTTTATCTTGCCCTTTTTTCACCTAGTTAAAACATTTTTTTAATTATTCATCCATATTTTACTAATCACTCCCCCTTCAAATGGAAATATGTGTTTACATAAATGGTGACCAAACCGTTTGAGACCCACAGAGAACTTAGACTAAGTTAACTATCTAAACACTCAGAGTCCTTTACCTCACCTGAGCTGTAGTTATCAGTCTCTCAGTCTGACTGGAGAGGACTCTCCTCCACCTTGTTGACAGCTCATGATATGCGTTAGCGCAGCTAACTAGCACCAGATGCTAACAACAACAATACACGTAACCGGTGCACGCGCTTTCTCTCTCGCTCTCGCGCCACACATACATACCCTCCCGAGCTTGAATGACACACAGAGACCAATCGAGGGCATTAGTATGATCTGTATGAAAGTGCCCATGTCGGCAGGCCACATCATGGAGACAGCCAGTCACCCTCTGTGAGGCAGAGTCAGACCCACATTTGCGCAGCGTTGCGTTCACAAACCATACATAAAAAACAGAATCCTCAGGCCAGCAGGCCACTTAACAGGCCAGGCCATCGGGAAACCTCCCGGTCCTCCCGATGGCCAGTCCGGGCCTGGGTACATACCTTGTTCATCTGGCTCAGGTGGTTTCTCTGGGGTTGTTGTGTGAGCCACCACTTGAGAATTGCCGTCTTTTTTATTAAAGAAATGTCTAATGTCCATCTTCAGAATCTCCGCGTCCGGGGCTGACAGTTTAAAGTTTAAACATTGTCACAGAGGAGAGTTGCCTCTGTGTTGCATTCACTGAACATGAGAAATTACATTTCTGCCGTCCGTCCTATAGGTAAAGTAGGTTAATGTATTATATTATTGAGGGAGAATTTGTCCGGGGCTAAAGAAAAAACATCCGGGGCTAAAGCCCCGGATGCCTACCCCAGGCGACGCCCCTGCGACTTACAATAATTTTTTTAGCCAGCATTCGTCCATGTTCAGGATGTTTTATCATATATTAATTTGATTTCAGATGGTAATATCTTTCAAAGTTGACAACACTTGATTGTAAATATTTTTATCTACAATATACTATTTTACAGTTTTGTTTTCTTGAAAGAAACTCTGGGGCCAGACTGATAATACATTTAAAAAATAATTTGAGAAAACACTGCATTCAAACCCAACAGTTGACTTTATCCTCAAACATTGAACTCTTGGCGACAGTTCACTAGAAAGCCCGTTCCCCGTAGAGAGCCGTTTGGACCCCACAAAGACAAGCAAATAATCTAAATCTGGAAACAAATTGGTGCGCTGATTAAAGTATAAAGTTCTGCAGAATCGTTTCCATAACCACTATCAGGGGCATCGCTCATAACGTGACTCCCTTCATTGTGTCCTTTTATTATTTAAGGACACGCTGTCTAATTTAAAAAGATTCCAACATATTCATGGCGTGTAACAAACATGACGCGAGCAGCGGTCTAAGTTATCACGGAGGGATCTGCTTATTCTACCAACACATTTCACACCAGGCTGATGCATAATTGTCCTTCTGTTTGGCCAGAATGTGGATATCAGCTAATTGAGACATTAAGGAGACGCCAGCCAAGACGGTGTCCAGAATGGCCGCTTGTTTGGGAGCCTTCTGTCTCTCCTCACCCTTAAAGGCAGTTTGTGTTTGGCAGAGGATTGGGCGCAGGAACACAGCCATTTAAAACATTTAGTGTCCCCTCCCTCTGTGTCTGGGCACTGCTGCATTTAAAGTCTCTCCAAAAAAACAATAAAGACAGAACACTTTCATACATCTTGGCTGTGCATTAGACTGTACGAGGTCAGGAAGCTTAACCCAGCCAGTCTCATTTGAGCTTTACAATTAAATAAATGCATACCAATGAGCCCGGGTTACTTCTCCTGGAAATAAGAACATAACTTATCTATGACCTTCTCACTTTTAAATTATTGCTAATATTGGGTAATTGCTGAATACATATAATGTACTCCTACGCGTCTGTGTGTGTGTGGGGCAATGGAATACTTGCTCTTGTAACATTTGCACTTTTATTTGCTTAGGCCTACTAAAATTGGACAGATGTTGAAGTTTAAAAATCGTAGTATTGCTACTTTAAGTAAATAAAAGATCTGGCTACTTCGACCTATGTGATGAGATAAATTCGAGGGCATGCACCATTTTTTCAAGCCAAACAATTAACAGTTAAATAAAGAAGTATGTCAATATAGAATATATATATATATATATATATATATATATATATATACTATGTGACACAAAGGGAGCTCTATGCTTTTTATTTTGAAATGAGATTATCAATTGCACACAAGCAGAGGTTTACATGTTACAGTGTTGATGTATTTGCCTAGTCATATTTGCATTGTACTCACTTAATGTGACAGTTTTAGAATATTTATAAACCTGCTTGAGACTGGATTTCATTTGAATGCAATGCCCTGTACAGACTTGCAATTCAACTGATGCCAAGCTTTTACTCTTTAAACATTCTTTGTTGCATTCCTTCCAATCTATAATCACACACAAGTTTGTTGTGTTTAGTTGTTTTCATGTGTTACAAATTGTGTTTTCTGCTCGCTTCCCCAGGGGCCATTGTTCCATCAACATCAAATTATAACTTGTAATAGTTTGTTTTATTTTAATCTACTTTGTTTTAGCTATTAGGATGTATCCATGAGGGATTGGTTTACTTGTCACGCACCAGAGATTCAATTGTTTAAATGAGAAGTGTTTGAACATATCCTCACCTCCACTGCAGAGCCATGAATAGCTATTCTTGGGTTTTGTCTATGGTTTTTACACACACCATTTTCAGGGTTTAAATGTATTTATCTTTCATGTTCTCTGTCCCACAGTGTGGACCTGGTGCACGCCCAGCTGCATGTGTGTGAGGGCCGCAGCCTGCCTGAGCTGTCCCTCAAACAAGACAAGATCAGAGTGAACGGCTGCGCCATCCAGTGCAGAGTGACCACCGAGGACCCGTCCAGAGGCTTCCAGCCCGACACCGGCAGGATCGAGGTAGGGGTCACCTTGGAATGACTTTCAGGTTATGTGTTGCTGCGGTCAGGGAGACCACATGTCGACAGAGGAGCAATTACTCCTCTGTGAGATGTAATTTCTGGAGTCTGGAGAAAATCTGTTGAAATTATCTGGTAAAAATATGTTTCTAAGTAAGGGATAAAAGGGATTGTTCTTCCCCATGGGGGGCAGAAACATAAGGACCATGCATAAGAATACATCAGTCAAAAAAAGAGAATAGATCATTTAATGCCAGATATAGTTAGCTATTAGCTAGCAGTCTCCGGCCAGATACAAACATAACAATCGGCCAATACTTAAACATTATTTATTATAAAAAAGACACAAGTACAACTATAATACTATTAATTTCATCCAAATACTCAGATTACTGTCAAGTTAATGTTGAACAGTTTGTTTTGCACCTTGGGACAAAGTGTAAAAGTCTTTGCACGTTTTATTCTCGGCTGGAAGCATGTTCCAAGGCTTGATGGCCCTAAATGAAAAGAGAGTGTGCGGCAGCAGTGTTTCTCAGTGGGATCTTCAAGTCTGTGTTTACAGCAGATCTTGAGGTTCTGCCCAAATTCTCACAGTGGAGCTGAAAAAAGCTGCTCAATAGTGGAAAAGCAGCATTTTATCTTGAATACTAATACAGAATGAGATTTTTACTTAGTACTTGCAACTTTAGCAATGACAGCAGTTTGTATTTCACTCAGATGGTGCATTAAACACTTCCAGGCTGGGTTAACACTGATTGGTAAAACACCAGACCCCAACTGGGCTCCTGATTAATTATACAATATAGTACTTTCTGCTTTTAACTAAGTGAAAATGTAGGCAGTTTCAGAAAAGACCATATGTTATATATGTAGAGGAAACTTCTGTGTAGCTATGCAGTGGGAGTCACCGACTCAGGAAGGAGACACGGGAAGAGCAGGAGCTTTGATGTCAAACACATGATGGTTTATTTGGAGTTACGGCCGGAGGATTCACATCACAAGTCCAAGAGTCAGAGGTTCTGACTTCACGGTAGAGTTGCCACGTCAATTCTGAACAACTCTACCCCAGACCCATGTATTTAGCTAGTTCAGAGAGCATCATCAACATGCTGCATAACAAGATAGAATGATAACACCTCTATCAGCTGACGCCAACAGGCAGGAACAGGGAGACAAAACACTGAGAGCACAGCAGCCAAGGTTACAGGTGCCTGTGCTCAGTCAGGACAGTTTGAACTGATACACTGGGTCAAAGTTATGGGCCTTGGAAAATATTTCCACAACAATATAGAGTAAACCAGGGGTCTCCAACACGTCGATCACACATGGAGCAGTCTGCTTTATCCAGCAGCACCAGTCCAGAACCAACAGCAGAATGATCCGCTCTGAATCAGTCCGCGTCGCTGCGGCTCAGAGACACACAGGGAGGGATTTGTGTTTTTTAAAAACACTCGTTATCGTAATGTCAGGTTTTTGGTGAATTCAATCAAGTCTTGGATTGCAGAGTATGAATGTCCTCTTGCTATTTTCAGTTGATAAATACTTGTGTAAAGTTTGTGAAGGCAGGAGGAAAGCTTCCGCGATCACCGTCTCCTCTCCGTTCATCCAAACCCCGCCCCCTCCTGAAAAATACCTACTAATAAGAGTGACAGGCTGATAGTGACCTAATAGAAACTTTATTATTCACTTAATCACTGATTGAGATGATGAAGCTAACTTAATCTCATACATTCATGGGATTCATGTAACAGTAAGACAGAGAATGTAAGTGTGCACCCACATGCACTATTTTTGTTTTTATAATGCTGTTGTAAATACTCCTGTTGTCTGCTGTGTTCAAACTTAAGTCATGTGTGTGATGCCTCATTCAGGACATTCAGTGTCCTTTTTTTAACAGAAGACCGTTGCTTGAAGCTGCAGCAGTATTCGTTTTTGAGGATGGAAAAATGTCACACACAGATATAGGGAGGCTAGACCTATACAATTGATTAATTATGGTTTATAATTTAATGTCAAGACGAAGAAGATGAAAATATGGCTGCACTGTTCAGTGTCAATCCTGTGGAGATGGAGGTGGAGGTTATAAATCTCCAAAATAATGTTCAGCTTAAGTCTCAGCAAAACTCACAACATTTCTGGAGCCTTGTAGACCCAGAAAATTATAAGAACATTCACCAAGCAGCACTGAACACATCTGCTTTATTTGGCTCTACAGACCTTTGTGAAGCAGCTTTTTCTGACATGAATGAAATCTAAATACAGAACAAGATCGACTGATGAACATGTAAATGACTATTAGAGTGAACCTAAGTGGGTACACTCCAGCATACACCTGTATGGTGGACTCCATTCAGCGCCAGTCATCTCACTAACTGTAAAAAAAGAGTGAATGCACTTATTTTACACGTGCCATAAGATGCTTGCAAGGTGGTGATTAAGGCGATGTATTTACTATGTGGGCCATAATAAGAAGTGAAAACATTAAGTTTTCTCTTGGACATTTATGTGAATCTTCAGTGATGTATGTTGTCCATATTAATATGTGAGAAATTGTCGTTTTCTTGGACCTTGATGTGAAGTTAAGATTTTAGGTAAGCTTTAGGTATTGCAATTTCACACAGAAGTAGCTTAATTCAACTGATGAGTGCTATGTGAATAAATGTAAGCGATGCATGCAAGTAGCTCTTGGCCACTTTTCATTGTGGCTGTGGAAATGGTGACCAAACAATACTAGGGGGGTCCGGGGGGATAGTCCCCCGCAAAAAAAAATTGAGAAAAGACCCCTTAAATTATGACTTCGGGTGATGTTAGAGGGGGGGGAAGGACAAATTGAGGCTTCAAAATATGAGAAGACTGATCAATACCTCCATAATCTTCAGTGTGGTTAGCTATGAATCTTCCAAAACTTCCAAACACCCTGTCCTGGATATAGTTTCTACAGTATAAACTGTGCAACAGTACAGTAGGCCCACTAAAACTGCAGAACACCTGGGCTTTGGGAACACTCAAAATTACTTAACATTATTTAATTCCCATTTAACCTGTTAAGCAAAACACGGAGATATATGCTCACCTTTTGCTGTTATTCTGATCAAAAACGAGAAAAACGCGGCTGAAGGTTAATCCATAGGTTAATCCAATGTGTCTGTCACTTTGAAAAAAGTATTGATAATCCATAATTCAATTTTTATGTAAAAAACTGAGTTTTCATTAGCTGCTAATGATAGCTTCCAGAGTGAATGACAGCTTCCTGTTTTGTCTCCTTGGATACGAGCCCAAACAACTCACAGACTGCACCGGGCGCTGACGTAGGCGCCCTGTGACCATCAGATTTGACGACGCTGATTGGCTGAAATTGTTTCGGTGGCATAGTTTAAAGATAGCAACAGTTGGCTTCTGCTCTCGTCTGGGTGCTGTGCATAGCGCCCACACGAGAGAGGGTAATGATACACGGGCAAGGCCAGGCAGGAAACATGTGACTTATCAGTAACTTTAGACATCGTAACACAATTTTAAACAAGATTTTATTGTAGATTATACATTTTACTGATACCAATGATATAATATTTACCTTGTTTATTAAAAATAAAAATAAATATTTTTTATATCGATATATATATATATATATATTTTTTTATTTGGGAAGAGGGGGGGCGGCGCCCCTATGGGCCGGCCGCCACTGAGTGTATACTTAGCCTATAAAGCAGCATGGCATCACATTAAAGTATTCTTCCCCAGCCTGGTCTCTGCAGCATACATCTGCAGGTGTATCAACGCACACTAGGGATGTGCATCTCCATCACCGAGGCCGATGCGATGCGCATCTCCATACGTTGCCAACGATACGATACATTAACGATACATTTGAAGCACCAGGCGTTGCGATACAGTTCAATACGATTTGATTCAACACGATGCAAAATAATGATACAATTCAATATGGTACGACAGAGGATTTTTTTTTATTCCTTATATGCAGCAAATCATAAATCAACAAAAAAGTGCTTTACATATTTGGTTCTCTCTTCTAGTACTGCACATCCCATCATGCTGTTTATTTTTTACCTTAAAAAAACAAACACTTGGGACCTTTCACAAACAGGCCTTTTCACAAGTGTAGTAGTGTTCTCTGTCTCCAGAGTACAGTTCAATGTTATAACACCTCACAGTTAAACAATTTAAGGATGCATTGCCCATGATTAACAATGTGCAAATAACAACTACCGTAGTGCAATGCCCATACAGCTGCCAGCCTGATGTGCTTAACACTCATAGGCTAACTCACCAGTGAGCAGAAAGCAGTGGTTTCTATAGGAACAATAAAGAATACAAATAACCTTTCACAAACAGGTATTTTATAACTGCTTACAGTAAGGAAGACATTTCAACTATTATTGGCAGTCAGGCTGTTGTAAACTAAACACCACTCTCTCTCTGACGGAACACCTCACTGAGTGATTTAACTCATATGTCTTACATTCAGGTTTTTATTTTCAGACGCAGACCCCACGTCGTACTAACTTACTTGTGTACTTTAAAGCGGCACCGGATCGTTTACAATTTGAGAGCGATTTTTCAAGTTGATCGTCTTTCTTGAAAAATCCGAAGTTTTGCCAAACGTTTGATTTGTAGGTGCGCTGTGTTTCTCTTTCTCCTCGACATCCATGTGTGTTGATAACTGAGACTCTCGGCCTCCGTAGTGCGACGCAAAGATCAGAGATCGTCTCTGCGGAGTGCTGACAGGATGAGGGGATATTATATGAATGAATTGTTTTTTTCGAACAATCGATTAATCGCGAGTTCAACCCAAACTGTAGCCGATGTGCACTCTTTCAACCGGTGCACTCGCATTTTGAACATTTATGCTGGTGCACCGATGAGAATCGGTGAATCTTCACTGCGCTAATGAGGGCGACAAACTGAACAATGAAGAGCTGAGAGGATTCTCCTTTATAGCACACTCAGTGTTTTCATTCACACCGTTTATACCAGAAATATCAG